CCTCTGGCTAGGGCTGGTCTAAATATTCCCCTACCTTGGCATTGAGGTCTGCCCATTTTGGCAGTACCAAGTTCCAATGCAAAGTTTCACTCTCCCTCCCTAAAACACAGATTCTCAGTGCCTCACAGCTGATGGTGGGGGGTGGGGAAGGATGGCATCCACAATTCAAGACTATCTTTCCTATTCTCTTCAGTGCCTTTTTCAGTAATATGAAGTTAATGCCAGGTACTGTGATCACTCGCTTGATTTTTGATTTTCATGAAGGGACTTTTTGGTTTAGATAGTTGTTAAATTTTATTTATTTGTTTTTTTGAGACAGGGTCTCACTCTGTTGCCCAGGCTGGAGTGCAGTGGTACAATTTTGGGTCACCGCAACCTCTACCTCCTGGATTCAAGCAATTCTCCTGTCTCAGCCTTCCGAGTAGCTGGGATGACAGGTGCCCACCACCATGCCCGGCTAATTTTTGTATTTTTAGTAGAGATGGGGTTTCACCATATTGGTCTGGCTGGTCTAGAACTCCTGACCTTAGATGATCTGCCCACTTCCCCCTCCCAGAGTGCTGGGATTATGGGCATGAGCCACAGTGCCTGGCCAAATTTGCTGTTTCTATGGGGAGAATGATCAGGGGAGGCTTCTATTAAGCCATCTTTCTCTGCCTCAATACTGATTTTAAAATATTTAAGTGCACCTAGCAAAACATGTAAAAATCATTCAAAACTTCTTATACACAGGAAATTATAAAAAAGAGTTAAAGCAATTACATATGTATTTTTGAAGTTTATTTCCTTAAATGAAAATTTGTTAAAATCACTAGAACCACTTTTTACGTATCAGTCTCTAAGGGAGTTCTGTCATTTTAAAAGTATTTGTACTTGGATTGAGGTCCTTCATATGTGACTGTGTGTGTGTGTGTGTGTGTGTGTGTGTGTGTGTGTGTTTGCATGTGTGTCTGTGTCTGGTAAGATAAACACACATGCCCATATACTTTTTAGAATGTTTTATATTTTATATTAATTATTGTTGGACATCAAGTGATTCTTGTGTTATGGATAATTATAGTTGCAGTTGAGTTAAACTGTAAACTCCTGCTCATTAAAGGAAAATTCCTTTGAAAAAATAAACATGGAGTATGAAGAGTGTCATTCATTTATCCTCCCAGCCATTACTGGAAATATTTAGAAATTTGGGGGTTATTTACTGTGAATTTCCACTATACATAACAACCTTTGGTTGAATTAGCAAATTGGATTCATTGCCTATATTTCAAATATTTCTATATTTTAAAAAAGATTATTCCCACAAGGACAAAACAGCTGGTGAATGTATACAGAAATCAGTCCTTTCTTATCAGTAAGGGGAAATAAAATCCAGTCATTTGACTCAATAGAAAGCTGATTAGCTAAATTATCAAAAATATATTTTCAGTTAGATGTTTTGTTACTTATGGAAACCACCATGGTTTGCATGATGTTGGTTTGGATTAACAACATAAAAACATTTAGTCTAATTAGAATAATATCAATGAACAATTTCTAGGCAATTTTGCTTGCTTTCTCTGTTTCATTATACAGCTAAAAATTTAAAGAATACAGAATTGTATAAAGAGTAATCAAAAAAAAAAAAAGAGTAATCATTCCTCTTTTTAAAAAAGTTCCTTCCTTTAGGGTAATGATTCTTTATAGTGAATTCTTCCTTTTCCAACTTATATTTATATGTATGCAAAGATGTAAAATACTAGAGAAAGAAAGTTGGAGAGAGAGAAATACAGAGAAGTAGAAATTATTTGGGATCAAAAAGGGCTTTAACATTTTTTAAAAATTAAAATTAGCAACTTCATTGTCAGAGAACTGAGGTGATAGGGAAGGTGAGCATAGGTACTTACCAACAATTGTGTTTTCCCCTTTATAGCAAGTTTATTTTGGTAATTTATATTATTAAAATATATAAATAAATTAATATAGATATGAAAGAGCTTCAAGAGAACAATATGGATATATGTAGATGTATATGCATACCTGTATATGTGCATATACACTCTCCCATATATGTACCCAGTATGTACCCAGTCACACACAAAAACATAGATTTGTTTTTGCAGAACAGAATCATTACTGTGCTGCAAATTATTTTATTCACTGAACAAAATACTTCCCGGTATTTCTGCTACTAGATAACTAGAGTTATTTTTTCCAAAATCAATAGCCAATTACTCCAGTATAATTTATGAAATGATTGGTCATTTCACTTCTGATTTGAAATGCACCTTTTCAACACTAAATTTCCATATTTACTTGGATCTATTCCTGAACTTTCTCTATTCTACTTCATCCTCTATTCCTGAGCCAGAAAAAAAATGGTTTAAGATTACTGCATCTGTATAGTGTGCTTTGGTATTTGGCAGGGCTAGTCTATCATTTGTGTGTGTGTGTGTGTGTGTGTGTGTGTGTGATTATCTTTGCTACTTTTAGATATTTATTATTTCTAAGAATTACAGATTTATATAAAATTTAGTTCTTTTTTTTTTTTTTTTTTTTTTGAGACGGAGTTTTGCTCTTGTTACCCAGGCTGGAGTGCAATGGCGGGATCTCGGCTCACCGCAATCTCCGCCTCCTGGGTTCAGGCAATTCTCCTGCCTCAGCCTCCCGAGCAGCTGGGATTACAGGCACGCACCACCGTGCCCAGCTAATTTTTTGTAATTTTAGTAGAGACGGGGTTTCACCGTATTGACCAAGATGGTCTCGATCTGTTGACCTCGTGATCCACCCGCCTCAGCCTCCCAAAGTGCTGGGATTACAGGCTTGAACCACCGCGCCCGGCCTTAAAATTTAGTTCTTAAAAATGCCAATGAAATTTTATTGAAATTACATCCATTGTATAGACTGGTTTGGGGGGAAATTACATCTTTATAATATTCTATCTTACCGTATGTTTTATTCAGAATTTTTAAGTGTCCTTCAATAAAGTATTATAGTTTTCTTCTTACAGATTTAGCACATTTCTTGTTAAATTTGCTTGTAGTTATTTTTCGTTTTTGTAACTGTTAGAATGTGGAATGTTTTCCAATGTAGTTTCTAAATCTAGTTATTGCTGATGCATAGGTTCCCACTGATTTTGTGTGTTTATTTTGTATCTGTCTCTTTGAAATATTTACTGCTTGATCAGTTGATTTTTTGTTGTTTTTATGCAAGCAGGATAGTTTTCTTTTTGTCAGACCTTGAACGTCTATACATATTTTTCTGTTTTCACTATCTTGTCATAGTGGCTATGTTCCATAAGGCCCAGTGGGTTCTGGCCTCAATTTATTTTATTTTTATGATTATCTTTTTAGCGTTTGAGACAGTTGATTTTTTAAATCCTCTCCTCCACCCTTCCTCTCCTCTCCTCTCTCTCCTTCTCTTCCCTTCTTTCCTTCTTTCTTTCCAGATGGAGTCTCATTCTGTCACCCAGGCTGGAGTGAAATGATGTGATCTCAGCTCACTGCAACCTTTGCCTCCTGGGTTCAAGCAATTCTCCTGCCTCAGCCTCCTAAGTAGCTGGATTACAGGCACCCACCACCAAGTCCAGCCAATTTTTCTGCATTTTTAGTAGACATGGGGTTTCACCATGTTTTGAACTGCTGATCTGCCTGCCTCAGCCTCCCAAAGTGCTAGGGTTACAGGTGTGAGCCACTGTGCCTGGCTGGTTTTTAATATATTTTTTTTAACGCAAAGGAAGGGTCTACTGTAGTGGCTCACTTCTGTAATTCCAGCATTTTGGGAGGCTAAGGTGGACAGAACACATGAGATTAGAAGTCCAAGACCAGTTTGGCCAACAAGGTGAAACCTTGTCTCTACTAAGAATACAAAAAAAAAAATATTAGCTGAGTGTGGTGGCGTGCACCTGAATCCCAGCTACTTGGGAGGCTGAGACAAGGAGAATCACTTGAATGTGGGAGGCAGAGTTTGCAGTGAGCTAAGATTGCGCCACTGCACTACAGCCTGGGTGACAGAGTGAGACTCCATCTCAAAAAAAAAAAAAAAAAAAAAATTAACTTTGTAGGTCAGACCAATTCAGGGAAAGAGAAAAAAGTGAAATTCAGAGAGTAAAGAGAAATTGCATCCGCATTTAGATTATCACATTCCCACACTCCCAATACCCATAAAACAAGAATTTCATTCCATGACACAAAGGAGCCTTTGTTACCTTGAATGGTAGTCCAGAAGTGTTGGTAGCAGGGGGACTGGAACTAACAAAACAATTTTGGTTGTCCTTGAGTATTCGGTCCTGGGATAAATGAAACAAAGCCGTCTGTCTGCTGCCCTACCACTCTGCTGCAGCCCTGCTGGCCCTTCAGCCCTTTACCCTTGCTCCTTCTTGCAACTGGGCCCATGTTCCCTCCAGATGCAGCCCTCTCCACTTGTTTCATTTCCTCATTTCCTTCTGTTTGCCCCTCTCCAAGGTATGGGAACTACCCTCCACCTCTCACCACTTCACATCCTTATGATATGCTCTGAGCAATGTGCCTTTCCAGCAGTTGTTTATGTTGCAAGCTTGAAGTCTTACATTTGTTCTGATGGTTATTTGGGTAAAAACAGACTCCCCAGCTAGACTGCAAACTTGGGGAGGACAGAGCCCATGTCTGTCTTTTGTCACACTGCATTGCCAGCACCTGACACAGTGTCAGCCACATAGTAGGTGCCCATAAGATGTTATTCTGAAAGAATAAGTGATCACTCAGATAGTGTCTGCTTCATATCTTCTGTGAACCCACAGCACTCCTCCTTGATTTTCCAGTTTTTGGTGTGTTGTTCAGCATTTTCTTTTTTCTTTTTCTGTTGTTGTCATTTTAGTGAGATGTTTGGGAAGGATGAGAAAGAAACCGTGCTGTAGTCCCTGATTTTGAACCAAAAGTGTTGACTTCTAATAAGTCTGTGCCTAGTTATGAAATGTATTTCCATAGGCTGTTTTGTGACATGAGCTGTTCATTAAAATGCCACCTATAATTTTTGTTTTCCCTCAGGCTTACATTCAGAAAGTAGAGGTGACTGATATGATTGAACTGGAACACAAACTAGTGGATTCCAAAAACTGCCTCGCTTTTCTCATTGAGTATGTCAACTTTTCTCAAGCAGACATGAGGCTAAATAGTAGTGTTTTCCAGTGGTATGGAAGAATGGGAGAAATTTTTGAAGAGCACAGGAAAATCATTAAAGAGAAAACAAAGCAATATCAAGAATGTCTGAAGGTTGGCATCTTAGATATTTTATTTTCTGGAAATGTTTTACTTTTATATTTTTACATAGCATTGTCAATTATTTTATTTCACAGAGCATAGGTTTTTAGCTTTCTCATAATATAATGTTATAATCTCATACTGTAAATGTTAATGGGAGTCAGTCATATATCAGATCTTTTATAAGGCTTATTGGATAATTAAGGGGTGAGTTCATAGTATATTGATCAGTGTGCAGTCATTTCTTGATTTTTCAAGGTAACAGGAAAAAAAGGTGTTGGAATATATTGTCCATAAATGATAGTTAATAAAAATAGTATTTATCTTACATGGTTTATAGTACTCTTTTCAGTTTTTAAAAATGGTTTGAATATCAAAGCTCCCTTGGTGAAATGAGCTTTCATACCTCATAATTGCTCAGTCTCCTAAGCATTGTGCCAGAATCATCAGTCAAACATTCAGTAACTCCAGCTTTTTTGCCGGGAGGGGAGTCTTCATAAGAAGCTTTGTGATTTGCCCATTTCTCTGTCCAGCCTCATTGCCTGCTTCTCCCCACTCCTTGCTCATGACTTTTCAGTAACCCTGACAACTTCTAGGTGTTGCTCCCCTACGCCTCTTTTCTCCTGCACATTCTACCCATCACTCCAGAACATCCCCCAGCCCCAAACGTGCCTGTTCGTCTAGCACACTCTATTCATTTTTCTGAGAAGCCCTCTCCGCAGACCTCAGTGCTGCTTCTCATCTCCTGCACTCTCACTTTGACCACATCTCCATTGGACTAATTATCTGATCATTATGTTAGTATTTGTAAGTGTGTCTCCTGATTGGACCGCCAGCTCCTTGAAAGCAGGGCTGTTCATCGTTGCCTTTCCCTATATCCATTGCCTAGCACAGTGACTCACATACAGAAATGCTGTGATAATTCCATAGCTACTGTCCTAATAAATGCCTTAGTATTTACAGTCTCATTTTTCAGATGGAAGAGTAAGGTTCCCAAAGATTAAATGACTTCTTCTAGGTCAGTCAGTACAGATGTCCTTTAATAGCAGGCCATGGTTTCTTTTTATTACAGTTACAGCAAATAGCTAATTGGCAAAGCATGTTGTTTGAAGAATAATTCATATGCTTTAAGAAGTCTTCATTTTAAACTGTAATTAATATTTTTGTTTTACATTAAGACTATATCAAATTTTTTTAAAAACTGCAGAAAACATCAGTAATAAATATTAGGTGTTTAAGTTTCACTATAATAGACTCTTAGAAAATTGCTAAGTGGCCCAGAATTATTTATGCTATGTTTTAAAGTATACTATTCCACAAACTACACTTACTTTTGATGAACTTTTCCTCTCATTTTCCTTCCCCTACGGGACCAAAGCAATAAATTTGCCAGGAAACTAGAGAAAAGAGGACAGAAATCAGCCTAGATAATCTATAAAATAGAAAAGCTAATTTTGAATAACCTAAATTTTTTTGAATATTTTATTGAGCTATTTTTTAGAGCCATTTAGTTTGGAATGCCTTACCAGTAGCATTTATATAATAAGGTTTTTTCACTAAAAACATACATGCCTGACTTATATAACACTGGAGTTTTTAAGTATTTAAATCTGGATTTATTTACCTTACGTGTTTCTTGTGAAGAGAGTCCATGGGACAAGAAAAAAACCCTTGGAATATCTTGCTTTCATATTGTTAATCGAAATGATATCAGAGCACAATTAAAGAAATTCAGGTTTTTCCGATGTTTATTAAAATGCCATAGGTAAAAATTGAACTTTTCTTTTAGTCCCATCCTTGGTTATGAGATTTTTCAAATGCTGTTAAATTACTTGTTTGCACAAATTTTTCAGCATATTAAAGATCACCATTGTCTAATATATTTTTATTCATTTTATTAGCTAGAACTTCTTACATAGCTAATACAGAGTAGTATTAGTATTTTTCTAATCTGCAAATTAGAAGAAACTTAATCCTTTTAATTTAAAATTTTTAAATTCTGCATGTTTCAGATCTCAGTCATTTTCTAGATCATCTCTTTATGTTTTAACAGTGACAAAATATAATAATAATTCTGATAACTCCCATGTTAAAATTTTTTGACACCAAGGGGTTTTAACTTTTAAGAATATTAACAATTTTTTTTAAAGTTACGGTGTGAATGGTTTGTGGAGGATTTGGAGAGTTATGCTAAACAATCAGAAGAATTTTATTCATTTGGAGATCTTCAGGATGTTCAGCAGTACCTAAAAAAGGCTCAAATATTGAATGGAAAGTTGGATTCAGCTGCAGATAAGGTATAATTCAAAAATTCTTAAGATGAATTAGTTCAAATGAAAAAGCATTGAATTCATTTTAGTTATTCACCTTTAAGAAATAGATTCAAATAAAACAGTTTAACCGCATTTAATTAGAGGATAATGGAATGGCACAAATAGATTTTATAGACATGTTTCAAGGCAAAGTAGTATTGCTGCTTTCTATTGGTGGTGATACATTTTTTTCTATGTTAAAGATAGAGTTATGTATCAGTCTTCTTTTTAAACTTGCTTTGCATTATTTAATTATTTGCACCATGTGACAACACGGATAAACCTGGAGGACTTACGTTAAGTCAAATATGCCAGGCACAGAAATACCACATGATCTTGGTTATAGTGGAATCTAAAAAATTGAACTCATAGAAGCAGAGAGTAGAAGGATGCCTGCAAGGGCGGGGCAGGACGGTAGTAGGGACTGGGTAGGATGTTCATCAAAGGATAAAAAATTTCAGTTAGGAGGGATACATTTAGGGTCTCTATTGTGCAAATTGGTAACTATAGCTAGTAACAATGTATTATATACTTGAACGTTATTAAGAGAGTAGATTGTGTAGTGTTCTAATTACAAAAATGTAAGTGTGCAAGGTAACATATTATTTAGCCATTCCACAATGTATACATGTTCTCAAAACATGTTGGGCATCATAAATATATACATTTTTGTCAATTAAAAAAAGAAGTAAATAGGAAAACAAGATTGCATTGTGCACCGTAAATATATACATTTTTATCAATTAAAAATGAATTAAGTAAATTAGAAAATGAGATTACTGCTCAGTTTTTCTATATTATTGAAGTTTAACTTCAGGGTGTAGTGAGGGTCTTTTGGGTCACATTTGAAGTAGATATTTTAAAAACATAATTTTCAGTATCATTCACTCTTGAAATAACTAATATTTTCAATACCTATCCTTTCAGATTGAGCAGTTTAATGCTGAAGAGGAAGCATTTGGTTGGCTACCATCTGTATATCCTCAACGTAAAAAAATCCAAGATGGCTTGAACCCTTATCTTCGTCTTTATGAAACTACTGTTGAATTTAGCGGCAAATATAGAGCATGGACAGAAGGACCATACCACAAAGTGAATCCAGACCAAGTAGAAGCAGATGTTGGAAATTACTGGAGAGGACTATATAAACTGGAGAAAACCTTTCAAGATTCTCCACATGCATTGGCAATGACAAAAAAAGTAAGATCAAAGGTGGAAGATTTCAAGCAGCACATTCCTCTCATTCAAGTGCTCTGTAATCCTGGTTTGCGCCCCAGGCACTGGGAGGCCATGTCTGCCATTGTTGGTTACCCTTTGCAGCCATCAGATGACTCCACAGTCTTCTCTTTTTTAGACCTGAATCTGGAGCCATATCTAGACAGATTTGAAGGTATTAGTGAAGCTGCTAGCAAAGAATATTCTCTGGAAAAGGCGATGGAGAAGATGATTAATGAATGGGATGCAATGGAATTTGTCATCCATTCTTATAGAGAAACTGGGACATTTATTTTGGTATCAGTTGATGAAATTCAGATGTTGTTGGATGACCATATTGTAAAAACACAAACTATGCGAGGATCTCCTTTCATTAAGCCTTATGAGAAACAAATGAGGTAAGGTGATATTTAAATGGCAATGTTTATACTGTGTTACAAAGATCACTTGTATTTAATGTAAAGTTCTTTTGAGAATTGATTCTGCATTTCACACTTAATATTTCATACTTAATATTTTATTTATTTTGATAATTGATTATGTATTTCATACTAAATATTTAATATCATTAAATATTTAAAGATATAATCAATGGCTTCATTGCTATTGGAAGACTGCTGACCCTTTGCTATCATCTTAATGGTTTGTTAACTTCTATATTCATAGCTAAGACAGTGGACAATCAACATCCAGATATTCATTTTTATTGCCTACAATACAAATAAGATCAAAATATGATCTTATTTCTTAATTCTCAAAAATAATTTTGTATCTGTAAACTGAAGATAATTTTATTTTAAAAATATATTAGCTTGTTGTAGAGGATTGCTGAATATCTATTCTAATTTCTACTTATATGCATGAAGGATGGCAAATAAGTGAAAAAGAATGTAACTATAATTTTAGTTGGGGGTTTTAAGCATCATACTACACAGCCAGTTAAATTAAGCCTATCCTGTCTGTCAATGTTTCCAGTTTTTGTTATTTATAGTAAGCAAGTTATATATTACCTTGAAAAAACAGCCCATCAAAATCAGACTACTGTCTTGAGTGGATTTGCATGGCAAGGGAATGCTAATGGCTTGGTAGTATCTGCCTCTGGTGACTGAGGTGTTATCTGTCATACACTTGGGAATGCTCTGACTGGCCTTGGCTCATTCTCTTGTTTGGTAGTTCTGCCTGCTGCCAGCTTGCTCCAGTGTGCATATTGAGAAGAATTTTTGAACTACTATGAAAGTGGCATATCTAGATTGCACTTTAAGGTACTAAGCATGGTATCATTAGCTACTTGGAAATTTTCTTAATCAAGCAAAGATTAGAAAAAGAGGGAAGAATAGCAGAAGAAAGCAGAGGCATTTGGGTCTTTTGGTGCAAAGAGGTTAAACAAATTTCCTGATAAACATTGAAAGAAAAAGATTTTAGAAAGACATCTGAAAATGACTGGTGACTTGGAAAACTCATTAACATTTCTTTGTTTTAAAGATCTAAAATCACAGATCACCATTTCAATGATGAGTAATGTGTTAATATACGTAAGACTATGCCACATCTAAGTTCTGTTGCTATTAATAAATCATTCTTCCCTATGACTATGTTATCTCTGATAGCAGAGTATTTACAACTGTGTGGGTTCAAATCTTGGCTCTATTGTTTATTATCTGGCTAAACTTGAGCCTGGCACTTGTCTCTATGTGTCTTAGTCTCTCCATTGATAAATAGATGTTACAGTGGACCCTACCTCATGGGGTGACATGATGATGGAATAAACAGATAGAGACCTTAGAACTTTGCTTGTAAAATTATTAGTTTATGGAATAATTACATTTATTCTTGAGGAAATTAAATCATTATATTCTCTATATTTAGAAATTAACTAGTAATCTGTAAATTTAGATATTCCACCTTCTCATGAATGCCACACCATTTTGGAGGATGTAGATTTTTCTTTAAATGCCAGTTACATCTTATAAATTGAAATACAGTTGACCCTTGAACAATTTAGGGTTTTAGGGGTGCTAACCCCCCAACACAGTTGAAAATCTGCATATAAATTTTGACTCCCCAAAACCTTAACTACAAATAGCCTACTGTAACTAGAAGCCTAACAATAACATAACATGTATTGAACGTTACGTGTATTATATGCTGTATTCTTATAATAGAATAAGCTGAAGAAAATGTTATTAAGAAAAATCATGAGACAAAAATGTTTACTATTCATTAAGTGGCAGTGGATCATTGTGAAGATCTTTATCCTCCTCATTTTCATGTTGAATATACGGAGGAGGAGAAGGAAGAGGAGGGGTTGGTTTGCTGTCTCGGGTGGCAGAAGCAGATGAGGTTGAGGGGGTGGAAGTGGAGACAGGAGAGACAGGCACAGTCTATGTAACCTTTATTGGAAAAAAAATGCATATAAAAGTAGACCTACACAGTTGAAACCTGTGTTGTTGAAAGGTCAACTGTATTTTAGAAATAAAAGCTTTATTCTAGAAATAAAGCCTTTATGAGCCCAAATTAACAGGGGAGAAAAGAACGTTAAAAGAAAGGAGTATTGGATGTAACTACCTTTCCTCAGAAGCTCAGAGTACCCTTCACTGGGCATACCTTTACTATCAACAAAATCTCGTTTTTCCAGTTTTACCCTCTAGTCATGGAACTGGATAGCAGAAAGGTTTATTGTTATACCATATACAGAAACCAGCCCAATTCTAGATAAGTTTATTTAACATGTATATCTGTGTAAGAGTAAATGTTATATTATTATCTTTAAACATTTTGTAGAACAAATCTAGAGATTTATCTTTAAATGCAACTAGATGAATGGAATTGAAATAACATTATATACAAGGTTGACAACCTAGTTGTGGTTTTGAATTTTGTCATTTGAAACATTTGCTTGGTTTGCTGTCTATAAGAGCCACTGTGTTTTGCTTCTCAGAGAATGGGAGGGAAAGCTCCTACTGCTTCAGGAGATTCTGGATGAATGGCTCAAGGTCCAAGCCACGTGGTTATATCTGGAGTCCATTTTCAGCTCTCCAGACATTAGGTCTCAAATGCCTCAGGAAGGTAGACGATTTACAGCTGTGGATAAGACCTGGAGAGAGATAATGAGAACTGTCACACAGGTAGGTGAAAAACTCTCCAAAAATGTCATTATTTGGTTGAAGTGACATGATTTTGTTTTTAGAAATCCATATAAGCCATTATTGTTTCCAATAAGCCATTATCTACTTACCACATACATTATCTTTTCAGCTTTTATTTTAGAATGCCAGGAGCAGAAAATGTCACAAGCAAAAGTAGATATTTTGTCCCAATTACTCCTTGAGGTCCAAACTGAATTTGCATTATTTAACAACCTTGGGTTCTATTAGGGGTTCTTATCTGATGATCTGGTAGGAAGACACTATATGAGGTACTTACAGTCTCCATCTATTCTGTGACTCTCTTGTGGAATGCAACCCACTGAAACTCACTGTGGTGCACACATGTCAGCATGCCAACCACTCAACACATTTTTTTTCTGGTGGGGAAAGATAAATATATCTATAAAGTTGCAAAGATAAATACATGTAAAATGTCTGATAAATGCAAATAAAATGCAGTTTAAAATATGCAAATACTGTGGAGGAGAACTTACAATTTAAGCTAAGGAGGGAATTTAATAAAAACCAGTAACACTAAAAAATGTATGTTCTTTGTTTCATTCAGAAGACTCTTTCTTTCTCTTTCCTTTCTTTCTTTCTTTCCTTACTTTCCTTTCTTTTCTCTCTCTCTCTCTCTCTCTCTCTCTCTCTCTCTCTCTCTCTCTCTCTCTCTCTCTCTCTCTCTGTCTCTTTTTCTTTCTTTCTTGTCTCACTCTGTTACCCAGGCTGGAGTACAGTGGCACAGTCTTGGCTTACTATAATCTGCCTCCTGGCTCAAACAATTCTCCTGCCTCAGCCTCCTGAGTAGCTGGGATTATAGTCATGTGACACGATGCTCAGCTAATTTTTGTGTTTTTAAAAGAGACAGGGTTTCACCATCTTGACCAGGCTGGTCTTGAACTCCTGACCTCAAGTGGTCTGCCCACCTCGGCCTCCCAAAGTGCTGGGATTACAGGTGTGAGCCACCATGCCTGGCAGAAGACATTTACTGCCTCTGAAGCATGGTTTTGTGTCATTGAAGATTAAAATAGAAAAACATTAGTTATTAAATCATATCATTAAATGAATATAAACTTCTGCATTAGTATTTTGATAAAATATAATACTGTAGGGTAGAATAAGTATAACCTTAAAAATGTCCTACCCTGAAATAGAAATATGCAAATCTTAATTATTATTTAAAAAGCTGTTACTATAATCCCCAATACTGATAATACTATATTGATATCAACTATATGATTTGATAGGAAAATATTCAGAAAGATGGACATTGTTTTATTTATTGACTCTTTACCTCATATATATATAATAATACCTGAAACAAATCTCTGTATAAACCAAACTTTTGTAATATTAATCACATTTGATTAATTCCATATTTAAAGAACCTATTAGTAAGTCATTTTGTAACACAGTCACCTCTAATTTATGTCATAAATTCAGTCTTTTATATTTCATTTCCATATAACAGTGCAAAATCCTTATAATATGGATATATTTTGATTTGGAAGGCAATGAAGGAGAATTTTTTTTGTTAAAAAAAGCTAAAAATAGATACTTGTCTGTTTTTTTTTTTTTTGGAGACAGAGTCTCACTCTGTCCCAGGCTGGAGTGCAGTGGTGCAATCTGGGCTCACAGTAACCTCCACCAACTGGGTTCAAGTGATTCTTCCTCCTGAGTAGCTGAGACTACAGGTGCACGCCACCATGCCCAGCTAATTTTTGTATTTTTAATAGGGACGGGGTTTCACCATGCTGGCCAGGATGGTCTCAATGTCTTGACTTCGTGATCCACCCATTTCAGCCTTCCAAAGTGCTGGGATTATAGGCATGAACTACTGCACCAGGGAGATACTTTTATTTTTTTAGTTAGTATATTTAAAAAATTAAATTCTTTTTTTGATATGTAATCAAAATACTCTTCAATATTCCATATTGCTAACAAACTTTATATATATATCTCAATTCCTTGTGAGAGTAGCTATGTTGAGCCTAGTAAATAAAGGAGGCATATTTTCATCCTATGAAACCCCTGGAAACAAACAAAAACATTACTTACACTCATTCCTAAATAAGTATTTATTTTCTGTTGGGGAGGAGAGAGTAACATTTTGCTTAAGACTTTCTTGTCTTTCTCATCTGCTTTGTATTTTTTCTTTTTCCATGTGTTAGTATTCAGGGAAGCTTTTGCTCATACTACTCAAAGCACTGAAAATAAACATACACCAATATTCTCTTAGGAAGTCTAATGTTGTGTATAGTAGAAGCCACTGGATTAAGCTTGATACATAAAGTTATTGCCTTCATTCCAAAAAGTTCCTAATAAGACCTCAGAGGTTAAAAATAGGATGTAAATACTGTTGTTAATATTACTGGCTTACAGTGTAAACAAAGCTGCCAGGAAGTTTGAACTGGGCAGAGCCCACCGCAGCTTGGCAAAGGTACTGTAGCCAGACTGCCCCTCTAGATTCCTCTTCTCTGGGCAGGGCAGCTCTGAAAGAAAGGCAGCAGTCCCATTCAGGGGCTTATAGATAAAACTCCTCATCTCCCTAGGACAGAGCAACTGGAGGAAGGGGTAGCTGTGAGTGCAGCTTCAGCAGACTTAAATGTTCCTGCCTGCCCTCTCTGTAAAGAGCAGTGGATCTCCCTGTACAGTGCTCAAGCTCTGCTAAGGGACAGACTGCCTCCTCTAGTGGGTCCCTGACCCTTGTGCCTTCTGATTAGGAGACAGCTTCCAGCAGGGATCAATAGATGCCTCATACGGGAGAGTTCCAGCTGGCATCTGGCTGATGCCACTTTGGGATGAAGCTTCTAGAGGAAGGAACAGGCAGCAATCCCTGCTGTTCTGCAACCTCTGCTGCAGACACTGTGAAGAAATTGCATCAACTAATGGGCAAAATAACCAGCTAGAATCATGATGGCAGGATCAAATTCACACATAACAATATTAACATATATTAACAATTTATTATTAACATTAACCCTAAATATAAATGGGCTAAATGCCCCTGTTGAAAGACACAGACTGGCAAATTGGATAAAGAGTCAAGACCATCAGTGTGCTGTATTCACGAGACCCATCTCACATGCAAAGACACACATAGGCTCAAAATAAAGGAATGGAGGAATGTTTACCAAGCAAATAGAAAGAAAAAAAATGGAGGTTGCAATCCTAGTCTCAGATAAAACAGACTTTAAACCAACAAAGATTAAAAAAGAGAAAGAAGGGCATTAATAATGGTAAAGGGATCAATGCAACAAGAAGAGCTATTTTAAATATATATGCACCCAATACAGGAGCACCCAGATTCATAAAGCAAGTTCTTAGAGATCTACAAAGAGACTTAGACTCCCACACAATAATAATGGGAGGCTGTAACCCCCCACTGTCAATATTAGACAGATCAGTGAGACAGAATGTTAACAGGGATATTCAGGACTTGAACTCAGCTCTGGACCAAACGTATCTAATAGTCCTCTACAGAACCCTCCACCCCAAATCAACAGAATATACATTCTCAGCAGCTCATCACACTTACTCTAAAATTGACCACATAGTTGGAAGTAAAACACTCCTCAGCAAATGCTAAAAAAGCAGAAATCCTAACGGTCTCTCAGACCACAGTGCAATCAAATTAGAACTCAGGATTAAGAAACTCACTCAAAACCGCACAACTACATGGAAACTGAACAACCTGCTCCTGAATGACCACTTGGTAAATCATGAAATTAAGGCAGGAATAAAGTTGTTATTTGAAACCAGTGAGAACAAGGACACAAAGTACCAGAATCTCTGGCACACATTTAAAGCAGTGTGTAGAGAGAAATTTATAGCAGTAAATGCCCACAAGAGAAAGCAGGAAAGATCTAAAATCGACACTCTAACATCACAATTAAAAGAACTAGAGAAGCTAGAGCAAGGCAATTCAAAAGCTAGCAGAAAACAAGAAATAACTAAGATCAGAGCAGAACTGAAGGAGACAGAGACACAGAAAACCCTTCAAAAAAATCAGTGAATCCAGGAGCTGGATTTTTTAAAGGGCTAACAAATAGACTGCTAGTCAGACTAATAAAGAAGAAAAGAGGAAAAAATCAAATAGACACCATGAAAAATGATAAAGGGGATATCACCACTGATCCCACAGAAATAGAAACTACCATCAGAGAATACTATAAACATCTCTATGCAAATATTCTAGAAAATCTAGAAGAAATATATAAATTCCTGGAAACATACACCCTCTCAAGACTAAACCAGGAAGAAGTCAAATCCTAAATAGAGCAATAACAAATTCTGAAGTTGTTATTAGCCTACCAATCAAAAACCCAGGACCAGAAGGATACACAGCCGAATTCTACCAGGGTACAAAGAGGAGCTGGTACCATTCCTTCTGAAACTATTCCAAACAGTAGAAAAAGAGGGAATCCTCTCTAACTCATTTTATGAGGCCAGCATTACCCTGATAACAAAACCTGGCAGAGACACAACTAAAAAAAAAAATTTCAGGCCAGTATCCCTGATGAACATTGATGCAAAAACCCTCAATTAAATACTGATAAACCAAATCCAGAAGCGTTATCAAAAAATTTACCCACACCGATCAAGTCGGCTTCATCCCTGGGATGTAATGGATCAATAAACATAATCGATTACATAAACAGAACCAATGACAAAACCACAGGATTATCTTAATAGATGCAGAAAAGGCCTTTGATAAAATTCAACACCCTTTATACTAAAAACTCTCAATAAACTAAGTATTGATGGACTGTATCTCAAAATAATAACTATTTATGACAAACCCACAGCCAATATCATACTGAATGGGCAAAAGCTGGAAGCATTCCCTTAAAAGACTGGCACAAGACAAGGATGCCCTCTCTCACCACTCCTATTCAATATAATATTGGAAGTTCTGGCCAGGACAATCAGGCAAGAGAAAGAAATTAAGGGTATTCAAACAGGAAGAGAGGAAGTCA